CCTGGTGCACGATAGGTATCCTAAGAGATGTTATTTGTGTTGACCTTCTCCCTTCAGATCTATACTTCCCACTACCTGATCCACTCGTTAGTTTGGCAGATCATGATTTGCACTAGTCCCCTCACTGGGGACTACCACAGCATGTGTCTGACCGATTTAAAATAATAAAATTAATATTCGGTAAGTCACCTAGGCTACAGATCAAGTGGTGCTCACCGTATTTACACAAACTGAACAGATGATCTATTCCAAATTGAATTAGTTCTAACATAGCAGCGTCAGACCGAACTGGCAATGGTAGACTACTACAGTTATGATCTAATGCTGTCTGTCAGGTGTTAGCAGTTTGTCCACCTAATTAATCAAAATAAAACTAAATCACCTGCATAGATGTATGCAGAGATGGTAATAATTGTGTCTGTTGTACGAGCACCAATGGGAACCTTGCCTTCCCCTGTATCCAACGATCCTGACTGCAGCATCAAGCAGCAGTGTCTGACGTGTGCACAACGGCCGATCCCTGTGCCCCAGGAACCCGCTTATGACCAGCACTGCCCATTATTTATCCTCGCGTGCAGCAAGCCTTACATGTGACTGATCTGGCTGATCAAGAGCAGTTTAAGACAGCCCCCAAGGTCCTCAGGAATTATTTAACGTCGCAGACAGGACGACGATCACAGCCAGTATTCAGATCAGATCCACCAGAAATAATTTTTAGACGGTCTGGTAAACGTCTGCAGAGGACTGGTCAGTCCACGTTCCCTCTACAGCGCAGCAAGAGCTTAAAGGACAAAGCAGCAAAGCATGTGTGCTGTACTTCCATGGGTTGGCATGGTGACCGTGACCCGTGCATTGACCAGGGTCCTTCAGAGGCACCGCCCTCTCCTTCCAGATGTGCCACTAGGAAGAATGTTGACTCTCAAGGTAGAGCGCTCACGACTCCTGAACCAAAAGAGGACACTCAAGTTGGACTCTCTTCCTCGCGGTAAGAAGAGATTGAGATGGGAAGATAAGGTAAGGGAAAAACTTACCTGAAGATAGCTGCCCCCAACTCACAGATTTCTCACCAATTGAGCCGACGTGCATTTCGATAACCGGTCATAGCCTCGGTACCACCCGCAATGCAATGTAGTGCCACCTCAGCCGAAATGCCACATCAACATGCTCTCATCATCCCACGTACACCTGCTGTCGCCACAGCTCCCACGCTGTCGCCACAGCCCCCACGCTGTCGCCACAGCCTTCCGGCGACGCACCCCTTTACCTGGGTGTCGCTTATACAAGCCAGCGCCGATGTATCCTCACTGCGTAGAAGCTTCGTCGGCGCACCACGTAACAATGTTGCCAGCACCGGTGATGGCGATATCAAACCAGCTCCATTACCAAATTGCGAGGAAAATGAGCGAGAGTAATAGACAGAAAACCAAGTTGCAAAATCACGAAGTAGCTCAGATAGTCATGAACCAAGCGGAAAGCTCAATGCACCAAGATACCATACAAATAAGAGCAATACAATGAACTTGAATGTCAATGTTGCCACTCTCTGGTCACAGCAACATTGTATCCAATGTCGCTCTTCACTGTCTGGCGCCCAACGCCCAGCCTATTCTACTCAGGCTATCTAGCCTATCTAGGTTCTTGCAACTTAGTCACTCTAAGTCGAAGACCAATGTATGTGACGTCAACACCAATGCCGATCACCAGCATACACCAGGTACCTTGTCTCTCCTCCCCTCATCACCCCTTGGACCCCCACCTCATGTGCCTCCTACCCGAAGACCACCTTCACCATCACCTTCCTACGTGCACCTACCGCCTGGCTATGGCTGCTGTGCGCCTCGCTGCCCATGCAGCGCCCCTCAGCTCAGCGCCCGTGCGCACGTCCGACCGGCAGGCTAACGCAGACACTAGCCTAGCAATGCAGTAGTGTGTCCGCATTGCCTGCCAAGGCCAGAATGCCTTCCTCAGGCTAGGGCACTTTCCTTTATGGAAAGTGCAGCCTTCCTTTGGCTGTGTGGGCCTGACTGAGGAAGTTTCCAGTAGCTTCCAGTCGGGCCCAAGTGTCTGCGCCCAGGCCCTCCTTTGCTGTTACAGGCCTGGGCTCTTTGCAGTCAGGCTCATCCAGGCCGACCACGAGGCACAAGTGTTTGTCGCTTTCTCATTGGCTCACGACAGTTGTGTGATGACAATACTGCTTTCTCATTCGTTCGCGGCCACTGTGTGATGTGTCGGCCTCACAATGCGTGTGCCCAGGGCTCAGCCACCCGGCCCTGGGCTCAACTGTGCAGTGCAGCCCTTGTTTCTGGAAAGAGCCTGGAGGCTCACGTTTCCCTGTAACCAACTGGCGTGCTGCAACTGTCTTAGCATCCACATATGGAAAATTGTCAAATTTTGGCCTCTTGTGAATATTCAGGCCCGCCTTCACTTAAAGCGGGCACGGGGCTTGCTGGGGGCCACAGCCCAGAATATGTGCATGTCTGATAAGGGCCTCACGAGGGCTCAATCCTCACAAGTGGAAGATTCATTCGATTTTGTTCATTCTGTCAATGTAAGTAGCGTGAGGCCATCTGCGGGGTTGGAGACTTACCTGTTGGCTGGTGTGTTGCTCACCCTATCGATGGAAATCTCTCTCTCTCTCTCTCTCTCTCTCTCTCTCTCTCTCTCTCTCTCTCTCTCTCTCTCTCTCTCTCTCTCTCTCTCTCT